GGCGCAGCGAAGTGGAGCTGGCAACTCCGTTTGGCGGAAGGGCGGGCCTGCTTGTTTCCCCTTGCGACCCCCGCGGCGCCGCCGGCTGGCCGAGCTGGCATCCGGGAGGGGTAGCGGGTCTGTCACCAGGCTCCGCACGTTGACCGTGCGGCGCGGCGCGCCGTGATCCGGGGCGCCGCCTGACCGCGGGGCGCCCGAGGTGGAGGGCCCTGATGCCGTCCCGCTCCCGCTGGGCTGGGCCCGAGGTGGCGGGTCCATGGAGAGATGCCACTGTTTGTTCGTGTCCAATTGCCGCTGGATGAACCGCATCCCGCGCAGGGTGAGGTTCGGCGTCGTGTAGAGCTGGTTCTCCACGGGCCCAGGGAAGTGGTGTATGAGGAATGTAAGCAATGTCTCTTCTGGGAGGGGCGGGTGCAAGAGCTGGGCACGTCGCGTCATTGCGACGTGCCATTGTGCCATTGTTACGCCCGTGGATGGACTCCAGCGGGCGTTCTCTATCTGCCTCCTGGCGAGCCCTTGCTGCTCGCGCGACCAGAACTCGGCCAGGAAGGCCTGCCGCAGGCCCCGGTAGGTGCTCAGGTAACACTGGTGAAATGCTCAGGTGATGAACAGCGAAGTATTGACAAGCACTATATTACTTCTTCTACTCCGCGTGCTAATGGTCTTCCTTGGGCTCTCGTACCTGAGCCAAGAGCTGTCGGACTCGAGCCTGCGTCTAGAAGGGTCCGCTTTCCGCGCCGCCACTGACAGCAAAACAAGGCTAGCGGAGGCCCGCGCCCTCGTCCTGGTCATGCTCGCTGCGAGCCGGCCGCCAGCCCTGTCCTGTAAGGGCCTTGGTTGGCTTAGTCTGCCCTCCGCAAAAGAAGCTTTACAGCAGCTCTACTCGGTCATCAACGTTCTGAAATCAAAAGACTTTGGGGGCAAAACCACAAAAACAGAATAGAAACCACTTTGCGTTAACTGCACAACGAATCCCTTAATAAAAAGTGTCACTTATGAATCACAATGTGAATAAAGTAATAACATTTCAATTTTAAGAATTCAGTTGGCAATGTAGCATTCCGCTGAACCTGAAATGCAGAAGAATGCGGGGATGAAGAAGAAACCGGAAATCGCTATGCTCTAACAAGGTGACTTCCGTTTTCTTGTTCCCTGGATTCTTCTGCATTT